CCACCTTTTCGTGTTTGCATCTCAGTGTCAGAGAAGGGCTCCGGAGGTCCACATGACACACAGAAACCCGACGCCCCACAATGAGGAGGGGCTCCGGTCACATAGACAGGGGCAAGGCTGGGGGTGGGGCCCACAGGTCCTGGCTCCCTCTTCATTCGAATTCCCATCTCTGCTCCTCACTTGCTGTGTAACCTTCAGAAAGTTGCTTAACCTCCCTGAGCAAATTTCTCATCCATGAGAAGAGTGCGTGGGGCTCTACCTCAGAGAATTGTTGTAAGGAGTAACTGAATTAACACATGGAAAACACATAGAGAACTTCGCATTTAGCTACTGCTGCACACATTCTAACTACCACTATTATTATCGTTTCTATTGTTGTTATTATTACCACCATCATCATTAGACTGGACCACATTAAACTGCCACCATTTAACCCGCTGTGACCTACCCAAACGTCAACTTCACATCAATTAAGGTACTGTCATCACATATGGTTGAAGGCCAAAGCTTCAATCCTTTCTCTGCACCGACAGCCTCGGGCTCTGCAGCCTGAGCGCGGAATTTCAAATCCAGGTTTGCCTGTCCCTTCTAATACACTGATCAAGCTACTGACCAGCGCTTAGAAGCTGCCACATCTGCAAAACGGGGATAATGACAGTGCTACCATCCGAGGATTGTGGCAACAATTAGATGATAAATAAAGCTGAGACCCGAGTGGGGCACAGAACATGAGCTTGACGAATAAACAGCCCAGATCTGTTTTCCGAGTCCTAGCCTCATGGATCCAGCCTCCTGGGAAGCCCACGGGCCCCCCAGCAACCCCATCACCCTTCACTTATCCACGTCAGAACGCTGGGCTTCATCCGTGCTCCCCCCCGCTTGTCATGAATCTCATTTCACTCCCTCTCCTAACTCCCCTATCCATTCCAGCTGCCTCCCTAAAGCCAGACACCATGCCTTCTAGGTTGGGGATGTGCCAGCCTCTGCCTTCTTCCCCTTACCTCCAGCCCTGCCCCCGCCAATCCTTCCCAAGGGTGATGTAGACAGCACACCCATCTAACTGGGTCCAACTCCTGCTATGGCTCCCAACTATCCCTGTGATAAAAACCGACAAGGCCATGCAAATTCTGACTCCGCTGGTCTCTCTCACCACCTGTCCTCCCCACCTCCATTGATCCCTAAAGTGCCATGTCTTTCCTCCTCAGTGCAGAGACCCGACTCAGCTCTCACCTCCCCCGGGTTCCCTCTGCTTTCTCCGTCACTGTGGTCACCTGAGTATCTCCCCCATCAGACCGCGCCCTCCGTGACGGCTGCGACGGCGTCCTGCTTGTTCACCATCGTAGCCCCGCCAACGCTGCTCACGCCTCAGTGGACGTCTACGCACGAGGAACGCCTGTGCGCCCGGGCCCTCACTCGTTCCTGACCCCTCGCCCGCGCACCCCGGCCTGCACGCATATACAACCACCCCTAAGCAGGCCTGAGGGAGTGCGGCCTGGAAGCAGGGCCCTCCTGGCAAGGGGGCTGCGGGTGCAAAAGCGAGGAGGCGCGGCGCCCCGGGCCCGGCTCACCTCGCCCAGCGCCTGCAGACTCTTCACGGCGCCCACCACGGCCTGGTGCTCCACGCCCAGCTCGGCCGCCAGCTCCGCGCTGTCCAGGCCGCCGTCTGCCGCCTCCAGCCGCCGCAGCAGCGCCTCCGCCAGCGGACCGTCCGCCATGGCCGCCCCCAGCGCGCTCGGCGTGGCCCGGCGGGCGCCACAGCGGCCGGAAGCGGAACCGGCGCCAGGAGCGTGCGCCGCCATCTTGAGTGTGGCGGAAGGTGTTTCGGGGCTCACGGCGCCGCCATCTTGAGTGTGTCCATTGACCCTCAAAAGGTGCAAGGCACTCGGTCCTCACCTTCCCCTCTGGCTGGACTAGTGGTGTCTGGCTGAACACAGTCAAATTGATGATCTCGAGGACAGGATCACAGCCTGGTTTTAAGTTTCAGCCAGCCCCACCTGCCCTGGCTGTGGGACCTGGGACTTCCCGGTCTCGTGCCCCTGCAGCCCTCCACTCTCTGGGATTCTCTCTTGCCCTAAGGGAGGGCTGTGGGTGCTGGGCTCCAGAGATAGTCATCCTGCTGATGTCAACTCCTTTTAAACTTTCAGGGCTGGCCCTGTGGCTTAGTGGTTAAGTGCCAGCGCTCTGCTGCTAGCGGCCCAGTTCGATCCCAGGCACACACCCACGCACCGCTTCTCCGGGTTAGATCCCAGGCCACACCGAGGCACCGCTTCTCCAGCCATGCTGAGGCCGCGTCCCACATACAGCAACTAGAAGGATGTGCAGCTATGACATACAACTATCTACTGGGGCTTTGGGGGAAAAAATAAATAAATAAATAAAATTATAAACTTTCAAGGGGAGGCTGGGTAGGGGCCTTCCCCATTTATAAAGAGGATATGGACTCACCTAATAATTATAGTGAAGGTCGCAGCTAACCTGTATGGACATCCACCTGTGTGTCCAGCCCAGCGCTAAGTGCTTCAGGTGCATTTCATTTTCCCCAAAACTTTATGATGTAGATACTCATATAATTCCCATTTCCAGATGTGAAAATTGAGGCTTGGAGGGGCATACGACTTGCCCAAGGTTCTACAGGGAGTTAGTGTCAAAAATTATAAACACCCAGATCCTGCCCTACCCACCCCGTGCTCTGAGAAAATGAACCCCAGGGCAATAATGCATAGCCTAGATTAGCGCTGTCCTACAGAAATACAATGCAAGACACACATGTAATTTTACATTTCCTAGCAGCAACCTTAAAAACAAAATGGGTGAAATTAATTTGAAGAATTTACTGAACCTAACATGTCCAAATTATCATTTCAACACAATATTAAATGACCAATTAAATATTTTACATTCATTTTTCATACTAAGTCTTCAAAACCTGATGTGTATTTTACATTGACAGCCCACCTCAGTTCGGACCAGCCAGGTTTCAAAAGGTCACCAGTCACATGTGGCCAGTGGAGACCATATTAGACAGCACAAGTAGATATAATCCCAGATCTGCTATTTATGTCACTCAGCCAAATCGCTTAATCTTTCTGTGCCTCAGTTTCCTTGCCTGGATGACATGAGCCCAGGATATGGTGAGAATTAAGTGACATAGTGCCCATACATGTACGCAGTATTTGCTAATACTAAATTGAGTGTAGACTGTGTGTCAGGCAGTATTCTAAGCAGTACACATTTACTCACTTAACCATTACAGTTGCTATTTGAGCCTGGAAAATGGGGTTACTAATATCTCTCCCCCCTGACCCTACAGTGAGGTCCTGGTAAAAATTCAGAATGCATCCCTCAAAGTCCCCATTAGTCTCAAAGCGCTGTCCTCGTTTTTAATTCCTGCACATGTCCTTCCTTCCCTCTTTTGTCACACGTCAAGGAGGTTTTAAGCCTGTCCCGTGCCACTGGGACACTGGGGGACATCGAGGTGAACACGGCAGGCACAGTGCTTCCTCAGGCAGGAAGCGCCGAGCCCCCTAGTCCATGACACAGTGGAAAGGAGGGAAGGCTGGAGGGGCAGTGGCAGGCCTGGAGCAGTCACCTCAGACTTGGGGCTCCTCCTGAGGGGGGGCCAGGTTGTGTGATACTGGACACTGCCTAGGGGAAGGGGCAGAACACCAACTTCTCCAAGACTCCTCCTTCCTTCCTTTTCTGAGTCCCCACCACTAATGGGACAGCACCCCCTCCCCACCCTGTTGCCAGGATTCACCACCTTCCTGCTTCGGCAGTCCACTCCCACATTGCCAGGTCCAGGGCCTGTTTGCTCAGAGTCTGGGAAACCCCGAGCCCTCCTTCCTCCTTCCTGCAGCGTGGGGAGAGGGAGCTGGTGTCAGTCACTGTTAGTCACGTGCCTCTGGCTTCAGAAGAAGACTTTAGACTCAGGGGTCCTGCCCACCTCCCTTAGACCTTATCTTTCTCACCATCTGTCTCTTTTTTTTCCTTCCCAACGGAACCCCCTGCCCTCTCATCTTCAGCCGTTTAATTGCAAAAGCCAAGCCAGGCCGTTTGTGGGAGACCACAAGGCAGCGACCCCTTTCATTTACCGGCTGGGGCGTGGGGGTAAAGGAGAGGCTGCAACTACGGGAATAACCCTACCCCACCCTAAGTAAGCCACAGTCTATAGTCACGTCTTCGAGCCTTTTGGGCTTCCTTTCCTCTGGCCCAAGACATCCCTAAAAGCTTTGAAAGCATTTCTCCTGGGCATCAGCTGGCCACAGTCGCTCCTCCTGGCCTCTCAGGAGCTCCTAAGACTTCAGAGAGGCTAAGTGACTTGCCCCAGGTCACACAGCAGCAGTCTGACAGGGCATCAGGGGCCGCACGCACCACACGGAGGAGAGAACTCGGCCTGCAAGGCTGCGGCGCCACGGTGAAGTGAGGCCCCAGGGCCCCAGCCCTTGAGCTCTGGTGCCCTCTGCCCGTCCTGGGCGGGGGCAAACAGAGCGAGAGAAAGAAAAGAGAGAGAGAGAGAGTCGGAGGGGGAGTGCCCCAAATGCAAGGTAGAAAGAGGTTGGGAAAATCTTGCCCACCCCTCCCCGCAGAGGGCATGGGACGGGGCGGGGCGGGGACAGGGTCCCGGTCCTGCACGGCGACACCTGCGCTCGCGCGGTTTCTTTAAACGCCCAGAGCCCGAGCTAAGCTCCCGGGCGAGGGCGGGGTTGGGCAGAGGTCTGGTCACATGACCCATGGGCTCTGAGGGGCTCGAGTCTCCCCACCCCACCGGTGGGCGTCCCCCACAACGCGTGGTCGACCCTCATTGGCCAGTGGTGCGGCCAATAGAAATCGGCCATCTGGGAACCCAGCGTTCCGAGGCACAGCCTAACTTGCTGAGCCGAGAACGGCCGAATGGGAAGGCAGGGCCGGGGCCGCAGGCCAATGATAAGGCGTGGAGGGCGGGCCAAGAGGCAGGGCCAGGTTGCTTTGAGGGGCGGTCGGGTATAAAAGCGCGCGGCCGGTAGCAGCGTCCGCCCCTACTGCAGAGCTGCTGCCGGAGGAGCGACTTAAAGGGCCCGCGCGCCGCCGCCCCCTCGGCCCGCCATGCTGCTACCCGCGCCGCTGCTGCTCGGCCTTCTGGGCCTGGTCGCCGCCGAACCCGCCATCTACTTCAAGGAGCAGTTTTTGGACGGAGGTAACGCCTAGGGCCGCCTCGAGGCCGCCGCAACGACGCGGCCGGCCCACCAGCCCAGAGCTGCGTTGTCGCCTGTAATTACTGCTCAGAGGTCCAACACGGGGCCCCGGGGAACTAGAGCCGCAGGCTGTTCTTCCTTCTGCGTCCCTGGGGAGCGTGGAGGGTGCAGCGGCCTCCCGCCGCGGGAGTTGGGGTTCGCCCGAGGATCTCTTAAGTCACTGGAGGTGTCAAACTCGAGGTTGGGGTGGGGGCACTCGGAGGGAAGAATCTCCTTTCCTGCCCCCCTGCAGTTTGTGGTTCCTGGGAAAGGTTTGGTGGGAGGGATCAGCACGGCCGCACTGACCGGGTCCTCTGATCCCCCAGACGGGTGGGCCGAGCGCTGGATCGAGTCCAAACACAAGTCGGATTTCGGTAAATTCGTCCTCAGTTCCGGCAAGTTCTACGGTGACCAGGAGAAAGATAAAGGTAAGAGCCTGCGAGTGGGTGCTCAGATCCAGCAGAACTTCCTGGAGGAAGTTCTAGGATTAGGGCAGGTGGAGGAAGGGGGAGTCGCCTGTGTCTGCAGTCCTTAGGGTCCCCGGGGTTTGGGGCCGAGCCGTGACCTCACTGCCGTCTTCTGCTAGGGCTGCAGACGAGCCAGGATGCCCGCTTTTACGCCCTGTCGGCCAGATTTGAACCCTTCAGCAATAAGGGCCAGACGCTGGTGGTGCAGTTCACTGTGAAACACGAGCAGAACATCGACTGTGGGGGCGGCTACGTGAAGCTGTTTCCGGATAGTTTGGACCAGACGGACATGCACGGAGACTCCGAATACAACATCATGTTTGGTGAGGGGCCCCGCCCCGGGGCTGACCTCTGATTAGTTAAAGGGAGAGTGAGACCCCGTGAGTTCCTCATAGCCCGTGAAGGGTGGTCTTGAGAGCTTAGAAAAGCTTAAAATAGGCTTTTCATTGGAGGGGAAGCTGGGGGGATAGTCACAGGAGTGGTTTGTTGCATTGCTGTTGTCGGTGTAAGACTTAACTCGTGTGGTCTTGTGTAGGCATTTCCCAGTTTTACAAATAAGGATATCGAGTTCTGGAGTACTGATTTTTTTTTTTTTCCCTTAAGGCTCCGCCCACAGCCACTTAGAGTCAGAGTCTGAATCTTGTCTTCTTTTTGTAAAGAGGGGTGGAGGGGCTCACAATGGTGGGCAGCCTCTAGCTTGAACTGAACCTGCTTGTCACCTAGGCCCGGATATCTGTGGCCCTGGCACCAAGAAGGTTCATGTCATCTTCAACTACAAGGGCAAGAACGTGCTCATCAACAAGGACATCCGTTGCAAGGTGTGCCTGGGGGTGGTGACAGAGGGCTGCCCGGGGGAGGCTCAGAGGCCAGCCTGGTGGGCGGGGCCACTCACCTCCCGCCCTCTCCAGGACGATGAATTCACACACCTGTACACACTGATCGTGCGCCCAGATAACACCTATGAGGTGAAGATTGACAACAGCCAGGTGGAGTCGGGCTCCTTGGAGGACGATTGGGACTTCCTGCCCCCCAAGAAAATAAAGGATCCCAATGCTGCGAAGCCCGAAGACTGGGACGAACGGGCTAAGATCGATGACCCCACAGACTCCAAGCCTGAGGTTGGTGCTTGGGCAGGGCCCCCCACCGTGGAGGGTGTGGAGGAGAGCGGGGCCAACTCTGACCTCCTCGTGTGCCCTCAGGACTGGGACAAGCCTGAGCACATCCCTGATCCCGATGCTAAGAAGCCAGAGGACTGGGACGAAGAGATGGACGGAGAGTGGGAACCACCAGTGATCCAGAACCCGGAGTACAAGGTGAGTCTGGGGCTCGGAGCAGCCGGGAGCACACAGTGAGGAGTGCACTGTCCCGCTCACCGTCCGGTTCCCTTCTCCCTCTGCAGGGCGAGTGGAAGCCCCGGCAGATCGACAACCCAGATTACAAGGGCACGTGGATCCACCCAGAGATCGACAACCCCGAATACTCCCCAGATAGCAACATCTACGCCTATGAAAACTTTGCTGTACTGGGCCTGGATCTCTGGCAGGTGAGACATAGAGGGAAGAGGAGGATTCCTAGGGGACTTCAGGTGCTCCGAGTCACGCAGGAGGAAAGGGACAGGGGTAGCATTGAACCCTAGGCAGGTCTGACCCCAAGGTGGTGCTCTCTCTGAAGAATTTCTTGCTCTGTCTCTATGGAGTTGTCACAGCAGCCACTTACAGGTTCTTTTTACGTGCCAGGTACTTCTCCTAGTACCTTTATGCAGATCAACCCTGTTAACTGCTCCCAACAACCTAGAAGGTAATTAGATAACTCCATTAGAAAATTAGCTTCATGGGACTAAACTTTTGTTTCTTTTTTACTGATACACCTTTTGTGCCTAGAATGGCACATAGTAGGAACTGGAACAATGCTTGAACAAGGAGTGAGACCCCATCTTACAGAGGAAGAAACTGAGGTGCAGGGAAGTGACCAGCCCGAGGTCATACAGGCAGGAAATGGTGGAGCTGGGGTTCGAACCCAGGTTATGTGTGTTTTAACCGCAGTTAGACTGCAGCGTTGTGTAGTGGTTATGGGGACGTGGGTAGGAGCCCTGTCCAAGGCCAGGACCATCGGGTGCCCCCTCTGACCATCCCTCCCTCTCTCCCCCTGTCCCCCCAGGTCAAGTCTGGCACCATCTTTGACAACTTTCTCATCACCAACGACGAGGCGTATGCAGAGGAGTTTGGCAACGAGACGTGGGGCGTCACGAAGGTAGGCCCAGGATCCGGTCCTGGGCTGGGGGTGGGCAGGGCTGGCACGTGGGGGCCAGGTCCTGAGCGTGTGGTCTGCACGCAGGCGGCGGAAAAGCAGATGAAGGACAAGCAGGACGAGGAGCAGAGGCTAAAGGAGGAGGAGGAAGACAAGAAGCGTAAGGAGGAGGAGGAGGCGGACAAGGAAGATGAGGACGACAAGGAGGAGGACGAGGACGATGAGGACGACAAGGAGGAGGATGAGGAGGAAGACGCTGCCGCTGGCCAGGCCAAGGATGAGCTGTAGGGGCCGTGCCACCGCCTCCGGGGCTGGACTGAGGCCTGAGCGCTCCCGCCGCAGAGCCGGCCACGCCAAATAATGTCTCTATGAGACTGGAGAACTTTCATTTTTTTCCAGGCGGGTTCTAATTTGGGGTGGATTTTAGTTTTGTTGTTCCCGCTTTTTTTTTTTTTTTTTTTTTTAACCTGGTGTTTTGTCTTGTTCTCCTTTATCCTCATCCCGGGGCTCTCATCTTTCTTGATTGACATCTTTGCCACCTTCTGGTCCCTTCTTTCCCCAGATCCCTTAGTTCCTTTCCAATCTGGGGGCATGAGGGGTGTGGAGGAGAAGCCCCAGGCCCGAGATTCCATCTGCTCTCAGTCCTGGCTCCCAGAGCGGGGCAGGAGAAGAGGGTGGCGTCCCCAGTCGCCCAGCACTGAGCAAGAATGGGGCTCCTAGGCCCTGAGCTCTAGGGCGTGAGCTCTGACCTCCCCACCCCCTCCCTTTCTCCCCTGCTCCCGGGACTGGGTCACTTCTGGGTGGGGCAGCGGGTTCCAGCTCGGTTCACACTGAGAATGTAAGAACTACAAACAGAATTTCTATTAAATTAAGTTTTGTGTCTTCCTCCTGTGTCTCCTTTTGGGGGAGGTGACTCTTGAGTAAGACTCATTTTTCAGCCACTAAAGTTGGCTGAGTGTCCCATAAGGTTAGAGGGGCCCTTGTTTACCCCCACAACCCCAGACTAGTGGGAGAAAAGTAACTTTTAAATGCCATTACAGATATTCCACGTATTAACTCAGAGTTCTTGCACCAAAGCAATGAGTTTTGGTTCTAGTACCAATTCAGTTTGAGGAGACTGAGGTCCACAATCTGGTAAGAGGTGGGGCACGGGTATGAACCCACACCTGAGCCACCGTCTCATCCTGTCCCTGTTACTGAACCATACATATTTCTTACCTATCAAGGTAAGGCAAGACTGGGTAGAGCGATTGGACAATTTTAAAGATTTTCTTAATACCAGCCAGTGGTAAAAGCTATTAATTCCTTTATAATCAAGGAGGTCGGCTCAGAGACAGTATATAGCTTGTCCGTGGTCTTCAGTGGTGAAGTTGGGATTTGAACCTCTTGAAGGGAAAGGTGGCCCTGAGGGAGGGTGCAGAGACGGCAGAGTGGTGTCTGGGCCCCTGAGGCTGGCCTAAGGTCCACAAGGCTGCCACTGAAGGCCTGTGAGTGGTTGGAAGCTGATGTCCCTTGTTGCAGGAGAGAGGTAGGAAGCCCTCAGCTGAGCCTGGCCTATTCTGGTAGAAGCTTCTGTGCCAGGGCATGCAGTGAAGGGAGAGGCAGCAGGACCTGGTTACAGTGGGGCAGTGGGTGAGGTATCATGTGACTGCCTGGTGCCCAGCTTGAATGGAAACTCAGAAGTTTGGAGGCAGGCAAGGGTCAGAGCAGGATAGGGCCCCTGCCCCCCCAACCAGCTGTGAGATAAGCCCACCCTCACCTCCATCCAGTCCCCCAAGCCCCGTCTTCAGCTTTGGCCAGCCAACCCTTTAATTCCTTGTTCCTTGGATGGGCCTCCTTCAAGTTTCTGTCCTGTGGCCCAGCCCCAGCCCTCTGGGAAGCCTGCAGAGTTGTGCATCCAGGGCAAGTTGAGGGAATTCTGTATTCAATGTAGGGAGACCTTGAAAGTTAACATCTTCCTTAAATACTTTGGGGATCAGACTGGGGATAGTGGGGTGGGACAGCAGAGAACTGGGAGACCCAGGAACTAGAACTGCAGGTTCCTTCCCCAAATCCAGCTGTCCCTCAGGAATGAACGACGCCACCAAATGGCCCGGTGTCCTTGCTTCCACGGCCAGACTTGTTCCTTAGAATTTCCACTTTTCAGTGCTTGACAGGGTTCCTGTCAGGGTGGCCAGACCAGAATAAAACTCATTTGGGAGCAGCAAAAAAACACGAACAAGGATTTTATGGAAGAAATACAAATATTTAGAGCAAGTACATGAAAAATTTTGTTCAACGTTATCCACAAATAACAAGCTAATAAGGGCGTGAAAGTGGGGACCCCGGAGCCATTTTGTGGCCGCATGACGTCACCGCTAACGGGCATGGCGTCACTCGCAAGAAGCCACGTGATGGGTGTGCGCGCTGAGCGAGAAGCCCCCTCCCCTCCCGCGGAGCGGTGTCTAATCTGCGCATGCCTGGGCCGAGGGCGCTCTCGTGCGCATGCCTAAGGAGGCCAAGGGGGCGCGCGCAGGTCACGTGCTCTGGTGGTCGGCGCGCGCACCGCTTGCCCCGGAAGCGGTAGGCGTGCGGCGCGGCTGGGCGCTAAGATGGCGGCGGCGTGAGTTGCATGTTGTGTGAGGATCCCGGGGCTGCCGCGTCGCTCGGGCCCCGCCATGGCCGTCACCATCACGCTCAAAACGCTGCAGCAGCAGACCTTCAAGATCCGCATGGAGCCTGACGAGACGGTGCGAGCCGGGCCGGAGCCTGGGGGCGGGAGCGACGGGTGCCGGGCGTGGGGTGGGGGCGGGGAGGTCGGGATCCCGACGGGAGGGGCGGGGAGGTCGGCGCGGGCCGGGCCCTGCCCACCCTGCCCGACTTTCCGGGACCCCCCGATGGTGCCCAGCCTAGCCCAACCCCTGGCGACTCCACTTGGGCGGTGCTCAGGGGCTGGGCTCCGGGCGAGGCCCCACCCCCGGGCGCCCGCCAGGCTCCGGCTCCAGTGTCAGCGCCCTCGCGGGGCGCGGGAGCCGCAGGCTCAGATTCCCGGCCCCGCCGCGCTCTCCGGGACGGGGGCTCCGAGCTCCCAGCTTTGCAGGCGTCTCCTCGGGACGCTGGTGGCCGAACCTGGGAGTAGTGACCAGGAGATGCCGAGTGGTGACGGCAACGACGACGATAATGACAATAAACCGTGTGCGTTTCAGTGGTCTGTGTTTGCTGGCCGTTTATTCTTTTCCAGTCGCAGAGCGCTGTAGTGTTGTTATCTTACTAAATGTGCAAAACAGGCTTGTCATTTGGGCCTCTGACTCGCCCTAATTTGCAGATGCGGAAATCTAGGGGTTGAGGCACTGTGCCATAGTCGCGGACAGCAAGTTACGGCAGAGCTGGGATGCAAATTCGCTCCTGCTCGTGTGAGAGCCCCTGGTCTGAACGTTATGTTGCCTTTTTAGCTGGAAGAGACTTAGGACGTCACAAGTATATCAAGTGTCTGACTATGTCCTTGGTGTTTTTTGCACAACTACGTCATGAGAGAGACGTTGAAGTCCACTTTTGGTGGGAGAGGAAACACTCTTTTTTTTTGTCCCGACCAACTGTTTGACTTGCAGCAAGTTACTTAACCTCTCTGTGCCTTGTTTTCTCAAATACTGTAAAATGAGGCTAATGATGTCCATGTCATACAGTTATTATGAGGCTCTAAAAGCGTGATGTGTATACGTTTATGAAAGCGCTATCACCTTACGATGCATTCAGTAAAAACACCGTTGTCAGTAGTGTGGAATGAGGAACCCTTACATCTGCCCCTGTATTTTGATATACTTTTCATCATACTCTTCGCCGTCTGAGATATATATTTGTTTTCTTCATCTCCCCACATTAGTGTCACCTCCATGAGCGCAGGGACTTGCGTGAAGTTCTGTTCCCTGCTGTGCTTCTCAGTGCCTGAAACAGCCCCTGATCCATAACGAGTGCTCAGTAAATACCCTGCTGAGTGGTGAGATGAAGGAACAAACTCAAATCCAGCGTGCTTGACTACGAAGTGTAGCCTCTGCCGTCAGGGCCAGCAGCCTCTCCCCCCAAGCTAGGAAGGGAGAGAGACTCTTGGGGTTTGCAATGACTGTCCCCGTCCCTGCAGGTGAAAGTGCTAAAGGAAAAGATAGAAGCTGAGAAGGGTCGTGATGCCTTCCCTGTGGCCGGACAGAAACTCATCTATGCTGGCAAGATCTTGAGCGATGATGTCCCCATTAGGGACTATCGCATCGATGAGAAGAATTTTGTGGTCGTCATGGTGACCAAGGTGGGTGTAGTGTGCTCGTTGGAAGGGTGGGTGGATTAGCTGGGGAGCTGGCAGAGAGCTGTGTGTGCCCAGGAGAGATTAGCCGTGAACAGGCGGGGCTGAGATGGGGCGGGGTGTGGGCGCTAGATAGGGATACTGATGTCTGCTCTCTTTTTCTGGGTGTCACAGGCCAAAACTAGCCCAAGCACTTCAGTACCCCCAGAGGCCTCACCCACTGCTGCCCCAGAGTCCTCCACAACCTTCCCTCCGGCCCCTGCCTCAGGCATGTCCCAACCCCCACCCACCGACAGAGAGGACAAGAGCCCATCAGAGGAATCAGTCCCCACGACGTCCCCGGAGTCCGTGTCAGGGTAAGGCAAGGAGCGGCAGTCCCAGCTTGGGCCCTGTTCTCCCAGCATGTTCCAGCGCCCACTTATGTGATCCCACACACCTGGGGGGAGGGCAAGCAGCCAGAAGCCAGGGTCCGATTTCTCTTTCTTGAATTTGCAGCTCTGTTCCCTCTTCAGGTAGCAGCGGGCGAGAGGAAGATGCGGCCTCCACGCTAGGTGGGTGGGTGGACCCCAGGGCAGAGTGACTGGGCGCCCCAGCCACCAGCTGGGCCCTGTATGGGTGTGGGAGGGCCTGGGAGCTGTCCTCTCTCCTTGGTGACCCAGGCCTCGCTGCTCCCTCCACAGTGACGGGCTCAGAGTATGAGACGATGCTGACGGAGATCATGTCCATGGGCTATGAGCGGGAGCGTGTCGTGGCCGCCCTGAGAGCCAGCTACAACAACCCCCACCGGGCCGTGGAGTATCTGCTCACGGTGAGGGGGGCTGCTGCTTCCTGGGGAGGCCTCGAGGGAGGACGTGGGCTTCAATGCTCTGGGGGGTGGTCAGGGAGGCAAAACCTGCCCCCAAAAATATTTGGGTCGTGGTTCCAGCCAGGAAGGCTTCCTGCGGGAGGCTGCACATGAGCAGCGGGTGGGGGAGGGAGGGAGGTGGAGGGAGGGCCCAGGCCTCACCTGTCTCCTGCCAGGGCTGAGCACGCAGGAGGGAGATGGTGGGCGGTCTGTGTGTTGGAACTAAACGGGACCCCCGACAGGGAATTCCTGGGAGCCCTGAGCCGGAACCCGGTTCTGTCCAGGAGAGCCAGGTGTCTGAGCCGCCGACCACAGAAACAGGTGAGTGGACTGGGAGCCGTTCGTGGGGGGTTGTCTGCTGTCGAGACATCTGATCCCCCCCCCCCCCCCCCCCGTGCTTCTGGGAGTCCAGTGTGGTATCTGACCACACACCTTGTTCCTGCCAGCGGGAGAGAACCCCCTGGAGTTCCTGCGAGACCAGCCGCAATTCCAGAACATGCGGCAGGTGATTCAGCAGAACCCGGCACTGCTGCCGGCCCTGCTCCAGCAGCTGGGCCAGGAGAACCCTCAGCTTTTGCAGGTACGGCTCTGGGGGCGGAGCCCGTGCAGGCACAACCCCTCCCCTGTGGGTGCCGCAGCCCCAGAGAGCGAGCCTGGCCTGGCCTGGCGTGTCGGAGTCTGTCTGTATTTGGAAAGTGAGACTTAGCCCCCCGCTGCTTCCTGCGACCTAATGCCCTGGGCCTACCCAGCTTCGTGTAGTCCTCCCCGCCACCCTGTGAGGTGCAGGTGTGTCGCCCCCCACAGAGGAAGACGCCAGAGGTCTGGAGCAGCTGGGCGGCTGGTGGAGTGTGTGTCTCGTCCAGCCGCTGCATCCTCTGCTTTTCCTTCTGGGTCTTGTGGCTCTGGCTGTGGCTTGGCTCTGCATACAGGTGGTGCTTCATGAATGTCTAGAGTGTTGCCTGGCAGCCCCCAGGACCGCTGTGCCCCTGTTGGCTCTGGCACCACTCTGCTCAGCAAGGCTCCATCCTGTCCTTGAAGGCTCCTAGGCAGAGGGGCAGTGTCCCCAGGTGTGACGGTCCTCTGGGTCCTCTGTGAAGGCCTGCCTTTCCTGGTCTGGGAGCCGTTGTCCACTGCTTTTCCCCCTACCTCTCGGGCTCTTGTGGTGGCTCCTCCTGCTCACCCCTCCCGATGTTAGAGGGCCTAGGCTGCAAACCTTTCTGTTCATTATCTGCACTTGGTCCTTCCCACATCTTGTCTTGGGGCTTTCAGTCTGGTGACCCCAAATCTGTGTCACCAGCCCAGACCTGTGGATGCCACGCTCATCCATGGCTGACTTGCTTGATGCCTTTGTTATAGTACTTTCTAGATGTCTAAGACTTCAGAACAGATCCTCCTCCCAGCCTTCCCCATCCCCACAGGGAGCAGCCTGGGGTTGCTCAAGCCCCAAGCCCTGGGGGCCTGCTGGGCCATCCATCGCCTTTCCTGTCTGCTCTGCTTCCAGAACATTTCACTCAGCCCAGCCCTGCGCTCCCCCTCCGTGGCTGCCGCCTCATCTCCCTCTGGGTTCCCTGGCAGCCGCCGCCCAGGCCTCTGCTTCTGCACAGCCCCAGGGTCCATTCTGCACCAGGAGCCAGATTTCTGAAAAAGCACTTTTTTCCTCGATGTGAACATTGTCAGATATACCTTAAACTAGAGAGAGTTGTATCAGAACCCCCAAATACATGACACTCAGATGAGTTAATCTTTTTGAAAAGTACACAGATCGAGTCTTTCTGTATGAGTCTTTCTGTATTTAACCGTCACCAGCATGGTGTCCCATTGCACTAGAAGGTGCTAAAAGAAAGCAGGTCTGGTCCCTGCCTTCCTCTCTGATCTGCTTCTTCCTCCTGCCTTTCCTTGTTTACTGTTTTTTGCCACATGGGTCTTCTGTTTCTGGGATTTGCCGTATGCATCCCCACCCCCGGGCTTTTGCACTTGCTGTTTGCGCTTCCTGAAGGAAACTTCCCTCCCCATCTGGCAGGTCACAGATGCCTCCCTCCTGGCCTGCAGTGTCTTTTCTTGCCCAAGGTCTGCCCTACTATGTGCCCGGCCCAGTATTTACCTTGTAAATAATTGTCCATCTATTTGCTTATGGCCCAGCTCCCCACCCTGGGACATCAGCTCCACCAAGACAGGGCCCGTGTCCACTGCTGTGTTGCTGTTTGACCAGAACAGACACTCTAAATATTTGCTGAGGGAATTTTGAAAAAGCAAGGGCTGTGATGGGCCTGGGGAGGGGGCACGAGGGCTGTGGGTCACCGTCCCTTCCCCTCTGTCTCCCACAGCAAATCAGCCGGCACCAGGAGCAGTTCATCCAGATGCTGAATGAGCCCCCCGGGGAGCTGGCGGACATCTCAGACACGGAGGGTGAGGTGGGCGCCATAGGCGAGGAGGCCCCGCAGATGAACTACATCCAGGTGACGCCACAGGAGAAGGAGGCCATAGAGCGGGTAAGAGGCTTGGCTGAGGGCGGCCGGCGGGGGCCAGGCCCACCCCCGCTCACCGCCCCCTCCTCTTCCTGCAGTTGAAGGCCCTGGGCTTCCCCGAGAGCCTGGTGATCCAGGCGTACTTCGCTTGTGAAAAGAATGAGAACTTGGCTGCTAACTTCCTCCTCAGTCAGAACTTTGATGATGAGTGATGCCGGGAGGCCAGGCTGCCCACTGCCCCCACCCTGCCCCCAGCTCCACAAAAGTTTTATAAAAGAAAAATATATATATATATTCATGTTTATTTAAGAAGTGGAAAAAAATCAAAAACTTTAAAAAAAAACCCACTCCCACCCTCCTGAAGTGGCCCCCATTCCCATCTTGGCCTGAGAAGACCCGGCCAGACAGCTGTCCCCCTCCCCCGCCCCCGCCCTGCCTGCTTGAAGGAGCTGGCAGGACTGCAGGCGACAGATGGGCCCCTCTTGGCCTCTGTCCCAGCTCCCTGCAGCCAGATGGAGAGGCGGCTGCTTGCTTCCCCATCCCCCGAAGAGCCCCCGAGACCTCCCCCCTCCCTCTTCCAGGGTGAGGCCCCAGACTTTCACCTCTCACTGGAGTGGCCCAGACCTTTCCGTGTGGAGTGAGCACTCCCAGGCCCTCCCCAGTCTGGCCTTGGCCTGCAGCCCCGGCCGGGGAGGAGGAAGCCGGCTTGTCCCCCTGGGGAAGGGTAACATCCAAGCCACTCTGGAGGTCGAGGCCCCCCCACCCCGGACAGGACTGTGTCTCTGATAAAGGTTTTGAAGTGAATAAAGTTTTAAAATGCAGCCCTGTGGTGTGTGCCTGCTGGGGCTCCCCACTCCCACTCGGCTGGGCCAGGGGCTAGTTGGGCACGGGCAATGCAGGAATGCCGAGGAGGGGCAGAGGGGGGCTCCCAGTGCCTCCTCCCCCCTCGAAGCTGTCTCCTTTCCAGGCGGGGGCCCAGCCCCAGCTCAGCCTTGGCAGGGCTGCTGCTCCCGCCCCCCACCATCTCACCACAGTCTGTTGTGGCTCCACTTGTCCCCTGGTAATTGGCTAATTACTGGAGATTAATGTTGGTAAACAGAAGCCTTCTTCTCCTGTGCCATCTGCTCCTGCATTATTTTCCCCACTGCATCCCCCTTTCTCTCTCCCTGAAGCCCCAGTTAGTGGCGTGGCCTCGAGTCCTGGAGTGAGAGCCTGGTGCAGGGTTCCGAAGCCCCAGGTGTTGGGGAAGGAGCCAGGGGGCCCGGGGCGGGGCACAGTGAGAGACGCAGAGCCTCCAGGGCTGGGGCCTTCAGGCAGCAGGTTTTATTGGGGACGGACACAGCTCAGGAGCTGGGGGCCACGGAGGCTGCTGGGTCCTGGGTGGCACTGGCAGCCATGGCGGCAGCTCGGGCCTCCCTCTTTCGTCGCTGTTTTTCCTCTTTGAGGCGCTTGCGCTGCTGCTTGTCCAGGTCCTGCAGCAGCTCCTGGAAGCGGGCGCTCCTCGGGTCCACGTGGTAGCCCAGGCGCTCCTGGGCCTCCGCCTGCAGCCGGGCCCGCCGCTCCTTGTCCGCCTGCTCCTTCTCCCTGCGCTCCTGCTGCTGCCGCCGCCAGCTCTCGATCATCTCGGGCATCTTGGCCATGCGCTCTGCGATGAGCTGCTCCCTGTGGGGGCGGGTGGGTGGGCGGTGAGGGCAGGACCCCCCCCCCTGCCAGAGGAGAGCTCATCTGCCCACATCCTGCCTCTCCCAGCTGCCCCAGGGACATGAGAAACTGCGCCCGACTCAGCTCCCCATTAACTGTCAGGAAGTCTTGACAAGGACCAACACAGGCAGGAGCGGTGAGCCTGTGCGTGACTTTGAGCACAGGACAGCGCTGAGCCCAGCGCCCCCAGGAGCAGCCTGGAGCCCGCCCAGCCTTTCCCTGAGCTGTCCCGCGCCGTCCATCCACGTGCCACGCACCACGCCCACAGCTCGCTCCTCCAGCCGACGCACCACTGAGCAGCTGCTGCGTGCCAGGCCCAGTGCCAGGCACCAGGGGGGACCTTTCCCTCCAGTGCTCTGAGTTTGTGGGTGCAGCTGCAGCCCCACAACAGGGTTTTCCAGCCGGGATGGGGCCGACACGGGTGATCAGGTTCACATTGCAGCTCTGCGGTTCACTGCCTGGCCGACTCTGGCCGACTGACTCCACGTTCTCAGACCTCAATTTCCTCATCTCTAAAATGGGGGTGAGCCGCTCTTCCTCACGTTAAACACCAGGAACACACTGGCCTGCTCCTCCAAATCGCCTGCCTCGACTGTTGCCCCTGCCCTGCAGGAAATGGCACCACTCAGATGCCCCTGGTCTTGCCTGCAGTCTTCCCTCAAGTCTAATCCTTCAGCCCTGCTTCCCGGTTTGACCTCGGCCCCTGATTCCAGGCTGCATCACCTCCCACTCTGAGGTCCTGGCTGTTCCTTAAGGCACGTTCCTACCTCAGGGGCTTTGCACCAGCTGTTCCCTCTACCGGGAACACTCTCCCTAAGATCTCCCCACGGCCATGTCTGGTCATTCAAGGCTCTCCTTAAACAAGAAGTCCTCAAAGAGGCCCGAGGCCTCCCAAACCAAAGCCGCCCTCTGGCACGCACTCTTCACCTAATTTTATCTTCCTAACTGTTCTCTGGCGCCAACTGAAGTTATCTTGTCTGTTCTGTTCCTCGCCCGGGACAAGGCCTTGCACACTGCGGGCGCTCAGTGAGGACTTGCTGATGAATGCCTAAGTGAACGGTTACCGCGAAGGCGGCTGTGGGCTCGGCCAGCCTGCACCTGCACACCCCCGATGAGCGCCGGGCAGTCGGCGCCGGCGGGGGGCCCCGCTCGCCGCGGGCCCGCGCACGCACCTGGCCTGCCGCTTCTGCTCCTCGGCCAGCTGCTGCGCCCGCAGCGACTCCTGCATGGCCGCCAGGCTCGGGCACCACTCGCGCTCCTCCGCCTCCAGCTCGCGCAGCTGTTCCCGCGACGGCCACAGCGATCCGGCGGCCACCCCGGAGGCCGCGCCGTGCCGCGCGAACTGCTTGGCCGCGTA